GACTGTCATAAAAAAATCTGATATGAGTCAGATGGGTCAAAAAATCGGATTTGGGTCGGATTTGCCTGCAGCGTGAACGTAGCCATAGTGGAGTCTCTCTGATTGGTTGACGCGGCGCGTCGAGCTGCAAAAGTTCAGATTTTCTAACTTCAGCGATTTGCGCCTCTGCGCGTCGAACGCTCAAATCTTTAAAATTGCGCTCGAGGCGCCGCAGCACTTCCCGACGTTGCTTGAAGCGCGTCCACCATAGACTTTGTATGTAAACCTGCTGCTCCTGACGCTGAAATCACGTTTGGTGTGAACGCATCATTAGAGTGGATTTTTAGACTTAAGGGCTGAAAATGTCAGATTTGCTCCTACTCTCAGACTTAAGTGTAAGTACCAGTTATCAAAAGTCTTCAGTCTAAGAATCAGTCTAACTCTGAAGAAAAGTTCAGACTGCTGCAGAGGACTCTGAAGTGGATCAGTTACCACCAGGGGTCTGAGATGGACTGAAGACAGAGATTACAGCTGTCCTCCTCCCACCTGACTGTTATTCTCAGTTATAAGATGGAAAACAGGTTTAATGAGAAATATACAAAAGAAAAAAAGGTAAAAAATAAATTAAAAACATTAAAACTGTGCATAATGTTGGACTAAACGGCAGATATTTTATGTGTGGCTTTTGGATAAAATATTAAATATATGCAGCTGGTGAGTGCATGCTGCGCCCCCCAGCTTTTAACTAAGAATTATTTTACACTTAAGTCCACTCTTAGCAGCGTTCTTAAGAGTAATTCTAAGAAGTTTGATAAATACGGGCCCAGATGTGTGTCGGAAACACTCTAAGTCTACGATCATTAATAAAACGATAGATAATCTGATGGGTGGTCCTTCCTCTCTGTACCCTGGGTGAACTCAGCAGTTTTCCTGGCGTTTATGTGACAAACACGTGATTTGACTCTGCACACGTCCCACACCACCGAGTTAAAATCCTTTCTACAGTTTTAGCTTATTAGCACTGTTAGCATGTGTCCGTACACCTGTACATATTTACCTCCTCCTCTGAGAATGTGGAAAGTGTTCAGAGGACATAAAACAGCACGAAGCACAACTCTCTTCAGTTCTGAGGGAGTGTAAGACAAAAAGACCGAACGTTAACCAGCCTGTCCACCTTGAGACGATGACATCATTCACAGCAGCCTCACACACACGGTGGGTGGGCGGGTGGGTTTAGACGCAGAGAAAGTGGGATTGTCATGGAGAGTCTGTAAGACTGACTGCATGAAGAAGAAGAAGAAGAGAAATCTGCATAAATCAGTCTGATTTTCAGCTTTGGATCACACTGAAAAAGACGAGCAGACCGGACTGGACAGGACTGGACCTGAACCAGTCTACTGGTAGACCAATCTCTTTTTTACATCAGAATTTAGACAAATGGACTTAATGTGTAGGAATGTTGTCAGAAAACCTTCAAGTTCTGGTCAATAAATACGTCTTCATAACATCAAACATCTGTTCATGACTCCTCCTCATCCTCAGTTCCACATGTGTCCAAAGCAGAAAATAAATACAACCCCCCCACAACAACAGTGTCCAGCTGCCAGGTCCAGTTCAGATCTCTGATCCTTTTTTAGTCCAGTCCAGTCTGGTCTCGTCCCGGTTTCACGGTTCCTCGAACAGCTGGAGGTCCAGTCTAACCACGATCTCCCCCGTGGGAACCTCGTGGAGCAGCAGCCTCTTTGTGATTGGTCCTTTAGAGCCCTGGTCCTTTTTTATTTCAGCCAGTCGGATTTCAGTCCTGCCGAGGAAGTCTGCAGAGACAAGAGGGAGACAGACCGTGAGTCCCGGAGGTCTAAACCCCGAGCCGTGTTCCAGAGCTGCAGCACACACCGTCGGGGGAGAACTGGTCTCGCTCAAACACAGTGATGCAGAGGACGTCCTGCTCAAGGTCCTTGATAAAAAACTGACAGTTGGAGTTCCACTTGGGGTTCAACGTGTCCTGAACAAACAAAAACAACAAATAAATTAGATAAACAATAAAAAACAATCAATAGCACTGAAGTTAGTTAGCTTCTGTTACAAGCTCCGCCCACTGAAGGCTTCGCCTTCAGTGGGCGGAGCTTGTAACAGAAGCTAACTGACGGCGAAGCCTTTAAAACACCTTCATCTCTGAGGGAGAGTATGAGAACTTCAGCTGAGAGCAGCAGAGAGGCTGAGAACACACTAGTCCTAATCCAGATTAACATTTGGCTACATGAAGTCTAAAACACAGACTGTGGAGAAACCGAACACAGGAGACAGTCCTACCTGCAGTGTTGCATAAAGTACCACAAAATGACACTTGAGTAAAAGTACAAGTATCTTACTAAAATGATACTTTGGTAAAAAGTCTCCTTTAGGAATATAACTTGAGTAAAAGTCTTAAAGTATCTGATATTTGTTGTAGTTAAGTATTAAAAGTGAAAGTATTGATT